ATTTATAATCAGTCACAAGAACGTCGAATCTGAATCACTTGAAAAAAACACGGGGGTGCTTAACTTTTTTCCAGGTGTATATTATTTAGTATTTGTTCTTCCTGATATTAGACCATGACACAGGCTGTACACACATAAGAATTTTAATTTTTATCTCACGACGTATTTTCCAAAAACAATCCTACATCGTCGCTATACTTTCAATAAGGAATTTAACTTATATAACATATATCTACATAAACAGAGTCGTGTAAGTCACCGCTGTATGTAGAATTTGGAAGTGGACTCTCTCCTATACCTGAGATGTAATATTTTATGAAACCGAAACGTGTGTCTTACAGTCTCATCGTTATACAGGCTACAACACCTGCTTGAGCTAATATCATTGAAAATAATTACGCTTCTCGCTGCAATTTAAGTGTCTGCCTGTTTGTTGCCGTACAGTCGGTATATAGATTTCAAGTACACATAGCAACGAACGCTGTTTTATTTTCCCCTGTTCTGCATCCCCGGCAGGTGGTTTGCTACGGGAGCTAAACATGTTCAATCTACAGAAGTAACTGTGCTATAAATGTTTATCTTCTTGTTGTAAAATACCAGTAGATGTGGATGTACACGTGCACAAATTTTATCCTATGCCGTACCAATAATACGTTTATCTACAAGTGGTAGTCATTATCCTGGTACAAGGGCACACATATATATACAAAAAGGCACGTGCGCGTCGACACTTGTATTCATATAAACTTGTTGATCCCAAACACCATAACTAGGCTCTATTTTAGATTTCTTTGTACAGTATTTTTATATTCAACTACTACTGATAATATATTTACCTACTAGTTGAAGTACCCGTCCTCTGGACGAAAATTATGTAAATTCATGATTAATGAAATGTTATCTTAGGACATGAAAAGTTGCTTCCTTTATGTGTAATTGTAAGAAACGCTCATAAAAACGGCAAAACACAAAATGTGAAACCGTAAGTTTGCATGTATCTCCGCATGGACCAACAAACCTTCATGACAAATTTGGTGAAGGTCCATCTACAGGGTGTGAAGTAGTGGTAAAAAAAACGCAAAACGCTCATAAAATTCGCAAAACGTAAAATTTTTATGCCTCCCCTTGGACCAGTTGAACCTCCATACCAAATTTGGTGAAGGTCCATCTACAGGGTGTGAAGTAGTGGTAAAAAAACGCAAAACGCAAAAACGCTCATAAAATTCGCAAAACGTAAAAATTTTATGCCTCCCCTTGGACCAATTGAACCTCCATACCAAATTTGGTGAAGATTTATCCACACCCTGCGAAGTAGTTAAAATGGACATACAACACACAACAGACAGTACTATTATATTTATATAGACTAGCTGGATTACGCGTACCCTGGATAGAAGTTATCTAAACTCATGATCAATGAAATGTTATCTTAGAACATGGAAAGTTCCTTCCCTTATATTTATTGTGATAGGTTATACCCGTGGCTATTTAGTTCATGTGTTGGGTTAGATCTACGGCATTCTAGTTCGCTGTGTTGGGTTACGTCTGTGGCTATCAAGTTCGATGTGTTGGGTTAGATCTGTGGGTATCAAGTTCGATGTGTTGGGTTAAATCTGTGGGTATCAAGTTCGATGATGTTGGGTTAGATCTGTGGGTATCAAGTTCGATGTGTTGGGTTAAATCTGTGGGTATCAAGTTCGATGAGTTGGGTTAGATCTGTGGGTATCAAGTTCGATGTGTTGGGTTAGATCTATGGCTATCTAGTTCGATGTGTTGGGTTAGATCTATGGCTATCAAGTTCGATGTGTTGGGTTAGATCTATGGCTATCTAGTTCGATGTGTTGGGTTAGAGCTGTGGCTATATAGTTCGATGTGTTGGGTTAGATCTATGGCTATCTAGTTCGATGTGTTGGGTTAGATCTACGGATATCTTCTACGATGTGTTGGGTTAGATCTACGGATATCTTCTACGATGTGTTATATTAGATCAATAATTATCTAGTTTGATGTGTTAGCTTAGATCTACGGCTATCTTCTACGATGTGTTATATTAGATCAATAATTATCTAGTTTGATGTGTTAGCTTAGATCTACGGATATCTTCTACGATGTGTTATATTAGATCAATAATTATCTAGCTTGATGTGTTAGCTTAGATCTACGGCTATCTTCTACGATGTGTTATATTAGATCAATAATTATCTAGTTTGATGTGTTAGCTTAGATCTACGGCTATCTTCTACGATGTGTTATATTAGATCAATAATTATCTAGTTTGATGTGCTAGGTTAAATCTGGGACTATATATTTGAAAAACGATTCATTTTTATCAAGTGCGTCTACTATTCGTGTTATGTGACTACTCTGTGTTCTTAACTAAGGTGTCTAATTCATATGTATCTACTATATTACGTAGCAAACCCCTAATGTACCATTATGTATCTAATATATTACATATAAACTCCTACTGTACCATTATGTGTATTATTTTACATAACAAACTACTGTTCCTTTATTTGTCTCTTATATTACATATAAATTTCTACTGTACCATCATGTGTATATTATATTACATATAAACTTCTACTGTTCCAATATGTGTGTATTATATTACATATAAACTTCTACTGTACCATTATGTATCTAATATATTACATATAAACTTCTACTGTTTCAATATGTGTATATTATATTACATATAAACTTCTACTGTTCCAAAATGTGTGTATTATATTACATATAAACTTCTACTGTTCCAATATGTGTGTATTATATTACATATAAACTTCTACTGTACCAAAATGTGTATATTATATTACATATAAACTTCTACTGTTCCAAAATGTGTGTATTATATTACACATAAACTTCTACTGTTCCAATATGTGTGTATTATATTACATATAAACTTCTACTGTACCATTATGTGTCTATTATGTCACATAACAAACCCCTACTGTACCATTTTCCCAAGTATATTGCAGCATATTTCTCAAATAATTTATTTTGATTAAAAGCACTAATTTTATCAGTACACTCTGATAAGCAATATGACACACACACACATATAAAACGAATAGCTAGATACGTTAACAGTAATGTGGCATAACAGTTCAATGTTTGCCTTAGAAAAAACAATAATAACAAAAACTTACATCGTTGGTATTAAACTTTGTTTAATATGTGAGAAGTTATTTACAATCTGTAAATTAACAAAGAACGTTTGTTTGTGATTAAGCACAAAGCTACACAATGGGCTATCTGTGCTGTGCCCACCATGGGTATCGAAACCCGGATTTTAGCGTTGTAAGTCCGCAGACATACCGCTATTAATCAAAGTAGAAACCGTTAAAAAGGGAATTCGGATAATAACCACACGATGCCTCGTTTTTAATGTCTTTAATTTTTTCCTACCCAAAACAAAATCCCTCGGACCGCTCAGCTCTATACGTCAGAGAGCTTATACTGCTGAAAATCGCGTTTCGATACCCGCAGTTGGCAGAGCACAAATAGCCCATTGAGTAGATTTGTGTTTAATAACAAACAAATAAAACAAAAAAGCCAAAAGTTGACACTGACATATACTGATATAATTTTCGAATTTCACTAACGTTCTCAAGATCTTCTAATATTTAATACTATTCACAATCTGTTACAACTAAACAAGAGCTATAGTAGCAAAGTAAAACATTTGAGGAGGAAATAACTTGGAAAAAGCAAATATGTCTAAACCTTTTCTGTACAATAAGAGGAAAAAATATATAAATTTAATTTATATAATTATTTCAACACCGTTGTTTAACGAAACGTCTAAAATCAGAAAGACATTAATATATAGATTACTTCGCAAGAGTAAAAAAAAAAAGCATGTTCTTTCCCCATGAAATATTAATTGTCTGTCATGCATATATATTCACATATTAATAAGGCTTTGGTTTCTCTTTTTCTCCCATTAAATAATCATTGCTTTGATCTCAAAGATGAACAGGCGGTCCTAGTCTCTGACCATAGTAACTGCTTGGCGAATAGTAAAGGCCGAGTCCTGGGTAAGGAACTTGTGGAAGAGTCGTGTGGGAAGGTGTGTAAGGGTGGAATCTGTTGCTTACCGGACTGAGGCCCGTGGGGTAGGAGCGTCGAACCCCTTTTTGGGTTGTGGATGTGATGGGTGATCCATGATTAAGACGATAGGATGCAGAAAATAAGCTGCTGTCTCCACCAGAAGAAGATGCGTGAGTTCGTAAATGTTGAAATAGTTCTTCAGGGGAGCTGAAGCGCTTTCCACAGAAACTCTCCCCAACCATCCAGTTACAGACGTTAGGCCGAGGCATCAAGGAGTTTGGGTAAAGGTTGGCTACGTTGGTGGGCGAACCGGATCCGAAGAATCCAGGCACTGAGCCCGCAAGTTCTACTCTAGGCTGTCGTTCATAGCTGTACTTACCACAACTGCTACGGCACTGATTGAGCTGATCATTTTGAACACCAAACTGACAACTGATACAAGAAGGGTCTTGATACAGGGGTATAACCGTTGATCCACCCCCTGGAGTCTTAACTCGCGTATACCCCATGTAAGGGGATACCCCTCTTCCTATAGAAAACACCCTAGGTTTCACAGGGGTAGAACTCCTTTGTGTGCTGTAAGCAGAGGAAGGGGTATCAACAGGCACGTAGCCGAGAGTATGCGAACATCCCACACAACTGACCAGTGGGTTCATCCCAGACTTGTAAGTACTCAAGGGGCTTATACTTGGTATCGAACCGAGCACAGCCTTGATAGATCCCGGGTCCAGTGCATGTAAATAGTCGCTGGGTACACCGTATCCTACGGTATTCTGGCTGACCGGACTGGTCGACGTCGAAGTTCCTGATTTGAGACTGGTCACGGTTCCTCCTTCAGAATTACGCGAGCTATTTCTAAGAAACAAATCGTGCGTTCGGATCTTTTCTGGACTTTCACATACAATGGGAAAACCTGATTTACCTAAAGGTGAAGGTCTCTCGCCACTGTCACTTCTGTTTGTCTTGGCAGAAGAGTCAAATGACTTGAAAGATATTTTCTCCCTGCTTCTGTCATTATGTTTTGTCTTCTCAAGGCTTACTACCAAAGTATTGTCAGAACCTATCTGTCTACATGTTTGGGCTAGTAGAGCTAAGGGACTGCTCTTGGCATCAAGCTAAAAACATTAAAGAGAAAACAAGCAGTCAGATAGAGGAAAATCAATGAAATAAATAATTTACAGACATCAATAGGAGTTTTAACTCCTGTTAATTTACAGACATCAATAGGAGTTTTAACTCCTGTCAAAATGTTTAACTGTGCAATTAACTGGACTAAAATATTCAAAATGTTGGATCTCGTTTGAAACACGTTGCTCATAACTTCAACTTCTTTGTATCCTAAGCATTTCAAGTTTCTCACTGCGCCTCCGGGCACCTCAGTTTTAAGACTGTGGACTTATAACGCTAAAATTCGGGATTCGATTCCTGGAATGAGAAGATTTAGCATGACCTGATGGTTATGGCTTTTGCCTCGTAATCTGCTGGCCGTAGGATTGAACCCCCGTCGCCGAAAATGCTCGCCCTTTCGTCCGTGAAAGAGCTATAATGTGCCGATCAGTCCCACTGTTCTGTAGCAAATAGTATATTAAGTGTTACCGATGGGATCTCTAGTCTACCAGTTCAAAATTAGGAACTGCTATGTGCAGAGAAGCTTTGTGTAGCTTTGCACGAAAACTCTAAAACATATCAGTGGACCAGGGAAATATTGCTGAAGTATTCTTTAAACCTAAATCCCCGCAAGAAGTTTCCAATATGTACAAATATACTTTAATAGAGACAAGGCGTTCAAAATTATGTTAATCCTACCACAAGAAAATCCAAACAAATATCATTTCATTATTACGAGAGACTTAATATGTTTTAGTTCAACTTACCGTTGTAGGGGGAGGAGACAAATATTCTGGTTGGATGTAGTGGTGATTTGCGGAAGTTAACATGTTGTAAAAATCTAGCATCACATATAAAGCTACTGTTATCGCATTCGTTCCACTCTCACAACCGATCGGGAGACTAATGTACCACACGGTTCACACCACACTTCACGGAGCAGCAGCTTTTAGCACGCCACCTACGGCAAGAACTATAAACGAATATTTACAGCGCCACGCAAACTCTGCGTCATAAAAAGCATCTCAAGATTTACTTCGAAAAGACAATGAACTCGGTAGCATGTCTTAACAGCACCGTTTTCAGTAGTTAAATGTGTGGCGGGTGACCTCTTGATATGTGACGGTTTATTTTTATTTATTTTTTCATGTTGTATGGCCGGTTACGCTAATGCAAAGCAATTGGAACAGGAATTCCCAGAAATTTAGCAGACTGTCAACAATCTCAATTTTTAACCCCATTCATCAGTTGATTGTCAAGAGTGTCAATCAAAACTGATTTCGGTTACGAATAACTGTCAGTTTCCAGTGTAACGTTGTCGAAGACGTCATATCAAAACCTACAGAGAAATAGATAAATCAATGAAGCCAACATTATAGTGTATTCATTGAATCTCAACAAGCGATACTGCCAAAAAAAAGAAAAAAAGAAAGAAAGAAAGAAAAAGGAATTGGGGATAAATTGGGGCACTTTTCTTTTTCTGTACGAAGTTTACTTAATTAAAAATATAATCATAATACGGACTTTGCAAAATGACTTTAGAACTTGCATGCATAACGTCATAAAAATAATATAATTTTCCAAACATTTGTTTGTTTGTAGATAAGCACAAAGGTACACAATGAGGTATCTGAGCTCTTCCCACTACGGTTATTGAAACTCGATTTCCACTGCTGTAAGTGCGCAAACATACTGCTGTGCCACGTGGGGGGGGGGGGGCTTTCAAAACATTCTCTCTTGATGTCCAGTTAATTAAATTGTTCATAAGCTCACTGAAAGAGGTAAACTAAATACTTTAAATCAACACTAGGTAAGGTTTAGTTGTTGTTAAGCGCAAAGCTTCATAATGGGCTATCTGTGCTCTGCCCACCACAGGTATCAAAACCAATTTTTACCGTTGAAAGTCCGCAGACTTACCGCTCAGTCACTGAAGGCAACTATGAAAAATATTCCAGTTTAAGTAATTTGTAAACAGCTCAGCATAAACGTAGATTTACGTAAAAATAACGTATTAGTAGATGAACACTTAGCCCGGCATGGCCAGGTAGTTAGGGCACTCGACTCGCGATATGTGGGTCGCGGGTTCGAATCCCCATCATACCCACTATACTTACTCTTTCAGCCGTGGTGGCGTTATAATTTGAAGGTAAATCCCAGTATTCGTAAGTAAAAGAGTAGCCCAAGAGTTGGCGGTAGGTGGTGGTTTTTCACTACTAAATTAGGGACGGCTACCGCAGATAGCCTCGTGTAGCTTTGCGCGAAATTCAAAACAAACATTTTAAGTTTTTTTGTTTATTTTATAATTTCGCGAAAACCTACACCCTAATTTTGAACTGATAAAAACTTTAAAAAGGAAGGCAACTAATCAACAGCACCCACCGCCAATGTTTTTAGCTATTATTGTCTGAACGAATAGTGAGGTTTGATTATATTTCGTATAACGCGAATCTAGAATCCTCGTATCCACAGTCCGGAAAACGAATTAACTTACGCGGGAGGGAGGAGAAGAAACTTCTTGAAGTCCGAGAAAGAACAGGTATTTAGATTAGCCTGAACGTGCTCATTTAGTTCCTTAATTGGAATCATAATTTTTTGAACATCAGTGATTTAATGTCTTCAAGAAAAAGCTGTGTAGAGCTCTTAATTTCAAAATACTGTGTAGCATCTTCCGCGTAAACACTAACGCGAATCCTGGTGTCCATGATTGACATTCTCAGTTTAAACAGTTTTTGTTTTGTTTTTATCTAACAGTTCATTGATGATAAAATACGCAATAGAAACTTCTCCTTGTCGTTTATTCAAACGTTCTCTGTCTGTCTGTGGTCGAATGAGGTCTGGTGGTTAACGTGTCAGGCTGAGGATCATAAAGTCCAAGATTGGATGCACCTATAAATACGCTCCACACTTTCAGCTGAAGGCGCATTGCTAAAGGTTTGTCAATACCTTTATTCGCTGTATAGTAGCGCGTAGGCGGCGCTTGCTGTTAACTAGCTGTTGTAAGTTAGCGATGGCTATGTCTAAACCTTAGGGTTTCTGACCTGGCATCTTAGCTCTTGTATTGCACAAGATGTCGTTCAAGTTGAAAACACCAAATAACACCATCAAATGTTCTTAGCCACTTTTCAGTCCTATCCGTGAAATTCAAAATTTTCTGTTTGCGTTTTCTTTCCATCATTAGTGTTTTGTTTTAATTAACACTAGCTGGAGTACTCGTCCGTTGAACAGGTGAAATAAAAACTCGTTTGTAACAAAAGATAGGAAATTGTGCTTCAATGTTTTTCTTAACATCATAAGCATTAAAAGTGCAATAAATATACATAAATGTATCAATACTGAAACTAGCCCCCAGTGGCACAGCGGTATG